GACAAATCATTTTTGAAGACTTGTGAATTTATGTAAAAATTCTTGCCGAGGTTTAAAGATCAAATCGCTCTTAGATACACATTAAACAGATCACCCTTATTGAAAATAACAAAATTGCATGAAATCTGCCCATCTCTGTGACCTGACGTGGCTAGAATTTAGACAGTGTTAGCCTTATAGCACATTTGGCACTGAGGGGACCTGGAGGGCTGGGGAGATTAGCAAGGAGCAGTTCGGGGCACACAGGAACAAAGGGTCTGACAGTCATAGAGATCAAGCCCAGGTAAGAGTGGGTGGATGGGGTGGAGCTTCACGAGGCAGGTTGAAGGCAGGGCCTCAAAAGGTAAAGATACTGGCTGTGGGAGTCCCGGGTACCATAGGGGCTGCATCTCTGAAATCTGTCTGTATAAATCAAGGCAGGGAGAACTGGAAAGTGTCAGGCCTCTGGGGTGGAAAGCTGGCAGGAAGGAAGTGAGTAGCAGAACCAGCCAGTTACTTGGGAGCAGGATAAAGTTCTCTGTCCCACAAGCAGAATGCTACCTGGAGTGCTGTCACTCAAGTCCTCCCAGGGTTTACTTGACCCTTTGGCTCTTAAGAGTAGTTCTAGGAGATCTTTCTAGAACTTCGAGAAGGATAGAGGACCCTGAAGTGCAGCAGTTCCTTGGTTTTCAAGAGCATGGCTGGCAGCTTCCAGGGACTGGGCACTGCTTACAAACGTCTGAGAAGAAGACAGAGCTGTCCTGACAAGGGTCAAGTGATGCTTGCTGTGGTTTAAAATAAGGAAGAGGAGTCAGAGGCTTGTTGGTGAGCACTGTGAAGCAGGCGTTCTAGGAGGCTGGCATGGCGTTTCTTCTTCCGGATGATTCTGGGGTATAGGGGGATGGCGTCCCCAAGGCAATCCCATCACTCAGGTTTTTCTAGTCATTTGGATGTAACAGAGCACAGCTTGAGTCTCAAGGATGCTGACTTCAGTGGAGGAGGCCAGAGAGCGCCAGCTGGCCCCATGCCTTTGCACCACATAGCAAGGTCGCATTTGTATTTCATGAAGGTGAGGGAGCGCCATCTGTCAGCTCTCTACTGAGTACCCAGCCCCTAAGCTGATGCTTCCATAGGTTCTAGGCTTTGCCCTCAGGGAGCTCACTATCTAACTGGTGGCCAAAGGATGGTGATAAGACAGTCTCTGTGCACCAAGATAACTGGATTCAAAATCTAGAGCCTTGTTTCTTTGTCCTAGCTCTGCTTCATGACCGTGGCCAGGACTTCTCTCTGGATTTCGATTTACTAGTCTATCTCAGAGGGTAGCACTCCATTCTGGCTCCAAAAATTCCAAGCCTCTATGGTCTTATTTACAGAAAAAGATAACCGTGACATGACCCATTCTCACATTTTCCACAATAAAAGCTTGGAAACCACTTCCTAAAGTGGGTCATTTACACAGCAGGTCATACTTTGATTGAGGGATAATGTTAAACTTTGACGTTCTGCTCCTGACCCCAGATCAAATATATCATAGTGTGTGATCAGTAGAAAAGGGACAACATCTGTAAGCCCTCTATAAAAATATAAAATAGTACAGTCAGTCTCTATGTTTTATCAAGCAGTCATGAATGTAAATACAAAAGCACCTCTAGCAAAAGTCAGCTTATGTGTCCTAAGTTTTACCACACAAGAGTAACAATAAATATTAACTTAATACTCGGCAAACAATACTGTTCTTTCCTTCTGAGAATTAAGAAGGGGACTGGGGAAATATTTGATGGCTCAAATTTCGAAAAAGTGCAAAGCAGTGCATTGTTCTTCTCTTGAAACATTTTCTTCAAAAACAGTTCCTTACGAGGATCTTCTATAGCATGGCAGGGTCTCACTAGGAAACATTACATGTCTTGGGCAGTAGGATCCAGCTCTGTCTTCAAATGCTGGGTAACTGTCATCAGGTCTCAGAATGCCTGCAGTGAGTCCTTGCCAGGGTTTCGAATCCCAGAGAGAACGTGTGTGGGGACACCTGGAAGGAGGGCCTTACTGCTTGCTTCTCCAGGTTGATTTATCTCAAGGGCTACTTCTTCCATTCCTTTAGACACCCTGGAGCTCTGGGACCTAGAGCAAAGGGACCACCTTCTCAGGAAGGCCTCAGTGTATACCCTCCCCCAGCCCTGGCATGAGGAAAGCTAGCTTCGAAGGAGGGTTCAGTTGTGCTTTCAGCAGGTGTGTGTGTAGAGAGGGTAAGGCCAAGGGTGTAAGATGAGAAGTGAGTGAGCTGGTCTATACCTGAGTCTTTAGACCTGTCAGGTGGCTTATTCATTCAGACCCCCCTCTTTCCCCTACACCCAAGACCTTAGATGTTTGACTGAGATCACACACACAATGCCAGCCATAGCGTGCCTGGTTCTGCCAGCTCTTAGTGGTAGGCTGGAGGCCCTGGTTTGGGGTTAACATGAATGCGACAGCCAAGTACCCATTCATATCTGGCAGTGCATGGGGCTAGCCTGATCAGCCCACAGAAGCCCAACAGTTGTGATAAGAAAGCTATCGCAGAATCATTTCTGTCAGGTCACACGTGACGACTTCAGGGACTCTAGCTCCTGACAGCCCATAATGGTGTCTACAGAAAAGCCAGGGTCCCTTTGGCCTGACAAGCCCGGGAAGGTGTCCAAATAACATCCCATTACTCCAGCCCCCTCTCTCTCGAATCATGGGACTCTTACAGACCTCACCTCACCATCTGTCACTTCATTCATTACTCCCTGTCTTTCCCGCAGGGCGCCTTCCTCCCTGGGAACAGAGTTCCTCCTGCTCCCCTCTCCTCCTCCCTCCCTTCTTACCTCCTCCACCCTCATCTCTCCAAGCACCAAACACAGGGCTAGTGGAAGCAGGGGTGGCTCTGGAGGAAACTCCAGGGACTTGACCAGGACAGACTCCTTTCCTGAAGTATCTGGGTCCTGACTGACTCTCGCATGAGACAGCCAGCTCATCATGCCCCCTGAGTCCAGGCCCCAGAGCTGTCTCAGGGAACCCAGTCTGTGTCTCACTCAACACTGTCAAATCAAAAGAACTTAAAAGCATAGCTAATGAGTCATTTGTTCCATTTTACCTGCTACCATCTCAAATTATATATATATGCACATTAATGAAATTGCTTTCATATTAGAAAGCAGCAAATATTGGTTCTCACTTACTCTCTGGTTTGGAGAAAGGCAGGCAGCAAAGCGTCAGCTGCCTTCTCGTCTCGTGCTTCTTTTGCTGCTTAAGAATGGATGGCATTTAAGATCTATCAAGTGACGGTAATTTGAATGCATAGTCAAGTTCAGTAAGGAAGTCTCCAAACTTTGGGAGTTATTAACTGGTAGGACAGGTATCCCACAAAGAATATAGACCCACCTTCCCAGAATGAAAATATCCTAGGACACCTTGTATGGACACAAGTCTCAGGCATTTGATATCTAGAATGATATCTAGAATGATATCTGTTTCCTTGGCTGCTGCATTTAAACGGGACATGCAGGATTTCTCATTAAAGATCCTACCTGTGTCACTCTGATCACTGACTCATGGCAGGGGAGCTGCAGGGCGTATCATATGGACCTCCAGCTCCACGAGAGGAGTGAAATCACCTTTCGTCTCTGTTTTCTCACCTTCCTGTCTTTCAGAGATCGAGCAGGGCAGCTGCGGTGATCCTGGTGTACCTGCCTATGGCCAGAGGGAAGGCTCCCGCTTTCACCACGGTGACACTCTCAAGTTTGAGTGCCAGCCTGCCTTTGAGCTGGTGGGGCAGAAGGCAATCACGTGCCAAAAGAATAACCAGTGGTCGGCTAAGAAGCCAGGCTGCGTGTGTAAGTGAGCGGGGAGGAGGCCAGTTTGGGGGTCTCCACTGAGAGGCAGGGGCCCTTTTCCTCTCTAATCCCGGGGCCCCGACCCTGAGAACCTTGCAGGTCGTAACAGCAGCTTCACTCTGGTTGGTTTCTCCTATTCTTCACAACATGACTGGTTGGGTCCTCATTTCCAGCAGTAATGTAGACCATAGCACTGGGAATGATTGTTCTTGACACTTGGGGACCTTCTTCAATGCTGTCTTAACCCCCCTGGCGATGCTGGAGAGCAAGACAGAGGCCACTGGGGCTTGTTCCGCCAGACTCAGACCCAGACTTGCCCTCCTCGCCCTTGTTGCCGCCAGTGACATCAGGTAGTCAAGCCAGAGTGGAAAGGACTGGCAGGTCTGTAAGAGTGTAGACGCTGTCCCGGCCTCGGGGTATTGTGGGAAATCATGGCTTTGCCAGGGTATAAGAAGTTTCCTCAAATTGCTGCCTCTTAGATTGGATTTAGGGAGGGATGAGGATCGAGCTATCTTTGGATTATTGACCTTTTGGCGAAAGGGTTGGAATCGAGTGCTCTGTTCTATAAAGATAATAAGGAGGCTCTTCTCTCTTCTTCTTAGTTGGTATGGCCATTCTTTCGGCGCAAATAGTACTTAAGTCCAGGGTCCCAGTAGGTTTGGGAAGTGTGAGGGGGCTGTGTGTAGCTAAAGGTGGAGCAGGCTTGGTCTCCGCTGAGAAATCAAAGGTTCCAGCTTCTCTGGGCTGTCAGCTCTTCTCCCAACCCTCGCCGTCTGACTTTCTCCATCTATTCCCGTCTGCTTCACTCAGGGAAGGGCAGACAGACTGTC